CAAACATTTTTCTTGTAAAACAAAGGGGGGCCTAGCCAAAAAAGTTTGGGAACCACTGGTCTAATTACTGAATTTAGTACAGTAATGTGCTCCATCATTGCCTTACTGAAATGCTGCTCCAGCAAATTTTTCCTGCTTAGTAAATCCTGCCAAGAGTCTTGTCATTAGCTGCATCACAATAAATAATTAATAAATCAGCAGAAAAAAATCTACTCACTGGCCACCAAAGAGCTGCATACCCAGCAGAGCAAAGACCACGATGAAGAGGAAGAGCAAAAACAGCAGGCTAATAATGGACTTCATGGAGTTGAGTAGGGATACCACAAGGTTCCTTAATGAGTTCCAGTACCTACACAAAGACACACCAGTATGAATCCATTGTGTAATCCGGTTTTACAGAACACAGACAAATATTTCCATTTACTCACTTGGTGACTTTGAAGATCCGGAGCAGCCTCAGTGCTCGCAGGACACTGATTCCAAATGAAGCCCCGGGCTTCATGGCTGCCCAGACCACCTCAAAAATACTGCCAATGATCACCTGTGAACACAGTTTGATAAATCAAAACCGTTTGAATTTCTTTCTTCAATAATTCGCTACATTTCTTTTCTAGAGAACTAGTTCTGAATCATGCTAGTTTGCCTATAAATGTTCTCAAAATGCACAACAAATTGACGAAACAGTCAACTGAAGTGGGCAACTCACCCCGAAGTCAAAACAGTTGAAAGAGGAGTGAAAGTAGTTCTGGGGTCCAAGACCATACATTTTCATGGACATCTCCACCAGGAACAGGCCCAAAAATACAAACTCCGCAAGGTCTGTCCAGAAGAAATAGATATAGCTGATTCTATAGCAGCTATGCCCACAGTGAATAAGACACAGAAAGAGACTATTTGTGTATTACAAAACGCTGTTTGAGTCATGTGTGTTTACACATGTGTTGCTGCAGCACAGAACTACAGGAATTAGAGTACTAGTAAAAAAAAAAAAGCAGATACAGGCAACAGCAATTTTGTATGCAAGAAAGATGATCTCACCAGGATCATAATAAAGCTGGTACTATAATTCTAATGGAATGCTTCAAGTGAATGGAAGGATGATGAGCAACATGATCTTTAAAGCCTCAAACCTCCACCAGCATCCAAATATGGCACCAACAATCTTAGTTGCAGCTGGCTGTAATATGTTATTTTTGGACATTAACATAATAAGTCAACTACACAAATGTAAGAAAAAAGTCAAAATATAGTTGTACATTTGAAAATTTAATAAATATTTCTTTATTTTTTTTATGCACTTCATTTGGAGTGCTTAATGTTAGGGTGAATTATATTATTTTCATCCCTTTTCCTTTTACATAAAACAAGATGATATAGCCTAAAACATAATGTAACAAAATGGCACATTTTGAGAAGAAACAGCAGTGTGACCTAGTGTTATTAGTTATGCAGCAATCTGTTGAAATTTGCTCATGCTTTTTGCCCTCTATACACTTTAATACTCTGATTCCACAGAACAGGGGCCTGAAAGCTGAAGACTGTGCCTCTACTTCTCCCTTTAAATATCCTAGGAACTACAAGTAAGCCCGCACACTGAGAGCAAAGTGCTCAGTTGAGGTGATACAGTACTACTGTATAAGGTCTTTAAGACCTGCTGGCGCCTGATTATACAGTACCTTCTATGTGAGGAGAAGAATTTTAAATTTTATTCTGGATTTAACAGAGAACCAATGAAGAGAAGCCAACAGAGGAGAAATATGCTCTCTCTTTCTAGTCCCTGTCAGCACTCTTGTTACTGAAGGCTTCTCAGGGAGTTTTTAGGACATCCTGGTAGTAACAAATCACAGTAGTCCAGTCTAGAAGTAAGAAATTCATGAACTTGGTTTTCAGCATCACTATGAGACAGGATGTTTCTAATTTTAGAGATATTGAAGAAGAAAGCAGTCCTACATAATTGTTTATTATGTACATTGAAGGACATATCTTGGTCAAAAAACTACTTCAGGATTCTAGAGGCCAAGGCAAAGCCACCCAGAGTAGGGAATCTGGTTAGATACCATATTTCTTCACTTAATTCCTTGGACTTTCCCATTATTCTTAGTAAAGGTCCAATTAGTGCAAAATCAAGTTAAAACAAATCCTTTTTATGCTATCAAAGACATACTGGTTGTTGTCAATCATGATCATTAATGGCAATTTAATAGATGTTTACTGTGTCAAGTTAAAAGACATTGTTCAACCTTTAGTACCACTTATTACAAACTTGTGAGTGTGTGCACATATTGAGCCTATATGTATATGTTTCATATTCTGTGGATTTAAAAAAATAAAAATTAAACCAAATTCCAGCTTGCGCACCCAATTCTTGCTTTTTAAAGTCATTAAATGTGTATGTTGTACAACAATTCCATCCAGGCGAAAGAACTAAGAGTTAAAAGAAATCACTGAAGGCTCAAAATTACCATGACATTCATTACCATGACATTCATTACCATGACATTCATTCCCATAACGAATGAATGTAAACATCTGACCACAACTGTAATATTGATTTGTTATAACATTACTGGTAAGATGGAACCAACAGGTGTAAGCTATCTACTTTAGGTGGTAAAGAGTGGCATGAGTATTTATGTTTTCATTTTGAATGGCACACTTGCAGTTACTTTCATGTAAATACTGCTACAACTGTTGATAATGCTCTTCGTGGTTTAACTGGCTAAAAAGCGCTCCATCTCTACAATGAGTAGAGAATCACTTGAAATCAAATTTGACAACTATCATGTTTCAAGCTGTATCATCGCCAAAATAAAATAATAAAGCCATCCATGCACTGATAGGAGAATTTTTTTTATATCAAGTAATGGTTAAAATACATTTAACATTAAGCAACTAGTAACTATAGTTAAAATTGATTTTGAAAACGTACAGGTCCATGAAAACATACAGGATTATAAGAAAATTATTTAAAATGTATAGAACTGTTGAATACTTACATAGTGCATAGGTAAGCCACTCAGGCTGGTCATAGTGTACTATAGCTACACACAGTGTATTTAGGCCAACCAGACATAACACTGTCCAGTAGAAGCTCTGGGATTTAACCAGACGCCGGATGGTGAAGCGAATCCTCTTCTCTTTCCTCCTGAAGTAAGATGAACTCTCATTCTTGCTCTTCACACTTGCCCGAGCATATGGCGACCCTGGGGGGGCAGTTGGAGCAAAACATACAAAATTGCAATAAAGTTACCAAGTCTAAAAATGAGGTGCTCCTTCCAAATCAAGATATGTTTGATTATAATCAGCTAGAGCCATGGATCTTAAAGTAAATTAAGGGAAGACTGATCATTCTTACTGACAGATTACAGAATTGGCTTAGTATTCCTGGCACTTCTCTAAGATGGTTCTCATTATATTTATCCTCATCTTTACTTTATTTGGCCCAGACAGCTAAGGAGGTCTGCTTTTACATTTAGCCCAAGGTTAACAACATCAAATCAGCTGTTAGGAAGCATTGTATTATTTTTGACCAGTGTTTGTTTTGAATGGCACCTCTCAAAGATCATCCAGTCTTATTTCTTTAATTTAAGAAACATCCCAAAAAACAAACTGAAACCCAATAATATGTAACTTTTAGTACGCACTAGTGGTGGGTTTAAAAAAATCGATTTTAGTTTGAACAATGTGATATTGATTGATTAAATCCTGAATTGATTTTTAAATATAAATGTATTTTGGCAGAAACATTAGAATCTCAGGTTAAAGCTTACAAAACTAATTCTAGTTTTTACCCCCAAACAACTAAAACCGCAAATGAGAGCAGGTAAACGGATTCTACAAAAAGACGCAAACACAAAGAGCATAACCTGGTTTACCGGGCATGGAGGAGTTGCAGGTTTTGTCACTCTCCAACCAAATTTTACTAAGTAGCAAAAGAAGATCAAAACTACGATTTACGTTTGATAAACATTGTCATGAATTCCCTCTTACTTTTGCTTTTACTTCCTCCACCGCTCTCACTCTCAGTGTACTCAGAGGCCAATTTACCATCAAAAAATTTTATTTTCTGCATTATTCACTTACTTATTGTGCTTCCAGGCTTATTACGCACCAATTTACTGTTGTGCACAGTGCTGTCGGCCACTGTTTCTTGTTTGTTCAAAAATGACCTCCAACGAGAAAGCATGATTTATGCTGTTCAATACCAAAGAAATTTAAATTTTTTACAAATTATGCCAAATTGCAAAGCGCTTAGCTCTGTCTCTAATAAAACCTCTGTAACTTTCAGCAGCATCAGGTAATGTTCATATATTGATTCATGGTTTTCTTCTGGTTTTTTTTTTTCATTCTTTCTTGTTCCTATTTAGCCTCTACTATATTAAACTTTCAGTAACTTAAATTAAGCCCAAATGTCAAGTGGGACTGGACAAAAAAGGAAAGGAGAAAAATGGTTCCATTATAATTTTATTACTGGCACAGGAAGACTAGTGGGATAATCATTTCCTGTTCTATTTTAAACCCGACCTGTCATGATCCTAGGCCATGTTGGCCCAGTATTCTTAGTTTTCATGTATTTTTGTATTTTGTTCTTTATTAAGGCCATGGTTCCTGGGTTGCTCTGTTAAGTTGTTCCTTATTTGATTTCCCCTTGTGACTTTTACTCCGTGTGTGCCCCTCTGTATCTGTGAGCCCTCGTCTCCCCTCCTTGTGTTTTATTCCATGTTTCCCCAGCCCGCTATGCCTATGCTCTCCTGTCTCTCTCTCTCCTCCTGTCTGCACCTCTGTGTACTTCCTGTTTTACTTTGACAGTCTCCC